TATCACCATTAGTTTTATTGTGAAGAAACTGGTGATGCAGACATAGAATACAATAAGAAGACTTACATCAAGTCTACTATTGCTTTCATTATTCCTTTTTAGCAGATTCTTGGGCAACATTTAGCCAAGACTGCGAGCGGTTTTTGCAGGACGAGTTCCTTAGGCGGATTTATTTGTGCCACTCTTCAGCTGTGGAGCGCCGGTGAGACAAGTTGGAATAAGAAAAGAAGAGAATACTTAAAAACACATCCTTTAGAGAACCATGATGCTAGTGATGCTTCTTGGATCCCCTGCATTTTTTGCATTTTCTTGATACAATTTTGGGTGTCCTTTTTGTCAACAAACATACCACCAAAAAGGCACCAAAAGGACGCCCGCATCTCCAGCATTATGTCCAGCTCTCACCGATCCCAAACACGCCCGATAGACCTCAAGGCAATATCGTGAAAGGTCGTTCGGGAGAAACAACTATAGCTGCTAGTTCGTTTCCTTTGATTCTTCAGGCAGTCGTGCGCAGTCAGTGGAAAGACAGTAATCGTCAGACGAGAGCATTCGACGCACAATTTTTGCAAGCGCATCGGAAACTACAATGCCTTTTGGGTTTTGTATTGCCAATTGGGCCGCGACATTAATTCACCAAACGATCCAGGCTTGCAAGCGACCTCATGCTGTCCCAAAGCGGCCTTGGTTTGCCATGAGGTACGCCAGGGCGGGTTGGCTTGCTTGAAGACCACGGGATGGGCTTGGAACTTGATGGAGCAACTTCGGGTAGTTTACCTGCCTACCCTTGTAGCGTGTCCTTGATTGATTGTTATTCTTGCCATGGATCATAACATGGAGATGGAGTGCGCTCATGCTTACTGTAGATGACATTGGCACCGAAGAGGATTCCATTCTGATGGATCCCATCGTTCTTGAGGCTTGTGGGCACAGGCTTCACGAGAAGTGCTGTCAACGCCTGTGTGCACGCCGGAACTGGCCTGAGTCCTCCGTCACTTGCCCTATTTGTCGGTTCATTTCGGCAGCCCGTCCACAAGAAAGTTTGGGTGAGACTACCTCGAGGCTAAATCACGCTCAGTCACAGGAAGACCAACCATCAGAGGTTTCTTCCCCCGACCCAGGTCTCTTTAGCCAACAGCTTGATTTAAACAACTTGACTTGACCCTTCTCAAACCAAGTTGCGCAGTGGCTCTGCGCAGCCCCTGCCTGTCACTGGTCCAAGTTTCCTTTTGTTGACGGTGTATAGGCAGGGTTAGTTAGGGTTCAGGGTCCAGGTTTTGTCAAGAAAGGGCTCGCTACACCTCAAATTGCGTGGGGCACCACATCTCTAAGCTCGCTAAATCCTTGAGCGACGATCTATTTGCAAGGCACCAAGCAAACGCAAAAAGTCTAAAAGTGAGAAAAGGCAAACACTCAAAAAGGTAAAGGAAACGAAAGCACGCAGCGAGACTTTTCGACTTTTCGATATTTTTGGACACCAGTCACATGCCGTGCCCTTCAACGAAAGTCTAGAAGAATTGATCCAAACGTTGCTTTTGCTCCTATTGCTCCTACAGATATAGGTATAGGTTGCTATTTTCTAGACATCTCCAGCCGTGTCAAAGTGAGTCAGCCTTGAGCAGAGAGGATCTGGAGGTCAAAACATGCAGCCCCGATGACCTTCAAAAAAGAGACGCCCGCCAAAAGGACCCTGCAAGCCCCGGGTTCTTTTGGCGGGTGACTCTTTTTATCATCGTTGCCTTTTCGTGCACTTTTCGACTTTTCGCAAAAAGTTCGGAGAGCTAAGTAGATCCAGCTCACACATTTAGCAACCACAGCCACATGTTGCACCGTTGTTCCGCCTTTTGTAACATCCCCAAGACCATCATTTTGTAGAACCATTGTTTGCACTCTGGAGTGGAAGTGCGCTCGTGCTCATGAGGTGAAGTTCATCCGCGTTGAGCACGCTGGAAGAGCTTGAGGTTCGCGTGAGGGGAAGAGCACTGCGATCACCGCAAGGGCAGTTCGCACGTGGCCATGCCGTCGTCCGAGCATATCAAGTACATCTTTATTAGGGGCGGAGATTGCTTATTAGTTTTTGTTAGGTTCTGTCGGGGTTACCGCATTGTGCTCCAAGAACGCTTGACTTGTGGAAGAATGAGGGTTTGTGGTTGCAGGTGGAGCACCCGGCCCGCAGAGAAGGGCGGCCTGCAGGTGGTGAGTGAGAGGGGAAGAGCAGCAATCGATACACACTTGTCAAGGCACATGTCATGAACCGATTTTACATCACTGGATGGTGACTGCCGGAGATTGACCCTATTTCCAGTTCCATCAACTACCGCGGCAGAGCCTTCCAAATAAGGACCACGTCCCTTGCACTTTGGGTCGGATATGGTCACTGTTGGGGGAGAACTGGCAGCAGGCTGTGCGCATCCTTTGTCGGGGTGAGTCACGTGGCCATTGAAGCGTCATGCGGATTGCCGGGCCCCCTGTGTGAAATCATCACCGATTATCGCATAGTCAGTTTTGTTGTGCAGTGCAGTGCTCCCCAACATTCCACCTCGCGGTCATTTGCCTGCAACCTACAGCCGGGCAATCCGTGTTTTGCAGGATCATTTCAACCAAGTCCTTGGGCGTTTTTTCGCTCGGACCTGCCCAGCCGGACCTGAAAGGTCGAAAGGTCGGTAGGGTGCGGAGGTCCGTGGGATGGACGGCTGAGGCACAAGGCTTTCACCGTTCACCGGTGAAGCTGCGCTTTGGTGAAAAGGTTGAAGCAGCTTGGGTTGCTGGCTGCTTGGAGCTGGCAAGTGTAGATGTACTTGACAATTGCACCCCATTGAATGACAACTATACAGTATATACATATATATATATATATAAGTCGGATCCCGCGATCCCTCCTCCCTCCACCCCAGTTTCTTCGCGTTTTTCAATGTGTCAATTTGAGAGATTTGTTTTGTCCAGCACTCCGCAACTCCATTTTTGGAATGCCCGGGTTCCAAGCGAGCGTTCACTTGCACCGGACATAAGTTTACTTGCGTATGAGTCTAAATATAAAAAATATATATATATATACACCCACGTGCGCGCACGCACAGCGGTCACCGCGCACGCCGCCCACAGCGCTCGGGTAGCGCTCGAGCGCGCGATGTGCGCCGCGCAAACGGCGCGGGCGACGAAAGACACGCGCAGACACGCTTTCCGCTTGCAAAATGCCATTGGTCAAAATCGGAGATCTTCAGGGAGCGAAAAGTACAGGAGCCTTGAGGCCCAAAGTACCGCCAGTCAGAGTGAACATTCGCATCGCTTCACAAAACGATCATGAGACCGTTAGATCCATGGTTTCGCTAGCAAACAGCTGTCAATCCACTCCGCCAAACATCAGCGGAGCGAGACTTCCGCGGAGCTTCCCCAACAAAAAGGTCCAACCGTTTTCCGTTTTTTCACTACTCCAGAGCACCTCCCACCCCCACCGTCGAGGGCCTCGTGGACCCGATGCCGGATCGCCCGGCGAAGATGCGAAGGGTGGAGGAGCGCCGAGGAGGTGGAGGAGGTGGACACACGGGGCGCAGGGGCCGCAGGGGTTTAGGGTTTTCTCTCCAAACAACAAAGGCTAAGGACACGCCACATGGGCCACGCAAAATTTATCCATTCCACACATTGGGCTTGACGCTTGGGGGGTGGGGACACATGAACAGAAAATCTTGATTTCCTTGTTGGTATTGGGGAGAGAGCGTGCTTGGATTACATCTATTCTATTCACCTCCTAATGTTTAGCTTGGAGCTTTTAGAAGATTCAAGACACTGCCTTCCGACTTCCCGCAGAGGTTTCACCTATTTACTCTAATCGCCCCTAATTATCCTAATCCAGGAATCGCGAAACAATGCGGTATTGCGCGCAGCAAAACACCCTTTCATGATAGGGCAGATCCTTTGTTTTCCAGGTTGGTTTATATGTGAACTTCCGTATATTGGTGAGAGAAAACACATTGCCAAATCACTTTGTTCAGCGAGACCGACGCCAGGAGCCCAGCGAGCCATCGGCGCCATCCACGGAGAAGGTGTCCACCGGCGGGCTGGGTCGACCGGGTGGTCGGTGTCCAAAGAAGTAAGAGAGGAAAGGAAAGCTTCTTGTTCCTAGTAGCAAGAATACTAATAGTGGTAATGCCAGGAGCTACGTTCGTAGCGTCCTTGCCTTTGTTCCTACTAGCTTCTTGCTACTAGTAGTCCAATAACTCGTGGCCACGCAGGATTTCATCCATCGCCGGCGCCAGGGGATCAGCCGAGTGGATTCTGAGAAGATCCTCCGCATGAGCAGCTTGGCTGGATTTTAGATTAAGACGGTAGAATCTGATCAATCAACAGTTATGTAAGTTGTGTTTCAGTCTCCTCGCTTAGGCTCTGAGGGTTCACTTCACGTGTCGCTTCCTCGCAATTCACACATTGTGGCCCTGAGCCATTTTCTCGCAGCTCTACGGTTTTTGCTTGTTTTTGATGCTTTGATGGAGGGTGCGATGATCTTTCCCTAAGTTCATCTCAAAACGATTCCCTTTACTAGCCGTTGTTCGTGCTTCTTGGAATCAATGGATCCACCTACATCGTGTTTCAGTCTTCTTCACCCCAAATCCTGTTAGCCTTTGCTTGCTCTGCCCGTGCCGCTGAGGCCAGAAGGGAATGTCGGTGGACGCCATTGCAGATGTGTGGAACGTGGAAGCTGTGGAAATCGTAAAGACGCTCGAGCTGATGCGATCTGGAAAGGACACCAACTGTGACCTGGTAATTTTCCACTTGGGTCAAATAGTTCTCAATACTCCACTGAGGTCATGAACGTTTCGGGTGAAGCTTTTTGTTTGAGTTTGGTGGTGGAGCTCCAGTTGAAAATGCAGCAAAAACCATGAGGACCTTTGCTTAATTCCTTTCATGCGCTTAACAGTGACCTTCACTTCTAGGCTCTCTTTTGCTAGATCTTTCGAGCGCTTGTCAAGTTGCGTCGCAGTCTCTTTCCGGATGCCTGCAGACAGGACAGCCAAAGCGACGCGCAAGCGGGTAGCGAGCATGGCTGGACCTCCTTGGCAACTCGCCTGCAGCATTTCAATAGTGCTGCAGTTTGCCAAGGGTTCACGTGTGAATTCAATGGTGTCCTTTGATTGGAGAGTCAGCAAACTAGAGGTCCAGCACACCTGGAGCCTTCTGAGCCGAGGTGAAGCGACTCATGGAGGACCCACCTGACCTTTGCTGTCCCATATCCCAGGAGTTGATGGAAGATCCGGTGGTCGCGGCAGATGGAATCACTTACGAAAGGCGTTGCATAGCGGAGTGGTTTTATTTCAACTCTGGCAGCCCAACCACTCGTGAACCTTTGTTGACTCGTGAGCCATGGCGACATTAACACGGTTTTCATCTCTATTTGCTCAGGATGACCAGACTCATTTGCTGAACTTTCTCTTTGTGCTTCCATTCCTCTTTCTTGACTACGGGCAAAAAGCAGTGGTTGGAAACTTCTAGTCTGAACACAGCTCCGGTAACAATGTGAGTTTATGGAACTGAGGTGCTCAACCCGAGTCAGCATATGAAGTCAGCGGTTATCGCGTACAAGGAGAGAACAGTTCAGGAGATTTTGTCCGTGGCCGCGGAGCTACAGGGAGCGGAGGCACTCAAGTTGCTTTCGAGAGGTGAACAGTTTGTGCGTTCGTCGTTGCCCGATGTATCTGCCAAAAAGAAGCTGTCTTCATTGCTGCTCCTTCGGGGAAAGCGGATGAAGCCAGGTAGTCGCAGCAAAGTCAACCAAGAACTGGTGCCTATGCTTTTAGAGGTTGGAGACACTCCGCAACTTCAGGAGCTGTTGGCAGACATGAACGAGCAAGAAGTTATATGGCTTCTTCATCAAGTAGATGGAGACGTGTTAGAATCCTTGAGTGTGCCAGGCCCCCACAAGATTTTGGTCTGCAAGGAGCTTGCTCGCCGAATCACAGATTCCCCAGTTGCAGAGGCCCAAGCTGAACGCTTGAGTTTACTCTGGGACTTCCTTTCCCAAGAGCAGGAAAATCAGGATGACCAAGACTGGGCGCAAGCAGCATCTTTGATGCTGGCAGCTTTCCATGGTAGACTGACAGCGAAACTGGAACGGCTCGACACGAAATTGCTCCACCATGCCCTCACTTTTCTGCGCAACAAAGAGCGTGCCACTGCCTTCGCAAGGGACTTTTTCACTTGCGACTTTGGTATTTCCACCTTGGAGAAGTGGCCGCCCAGCAAATCGGCATCCATCTTTGTCGAACTGGCCTCGCGCATGGACGACGACAAAGATGATGAGAAGCTGGACTTGCTTGTCAAGGCGCATGGTATCAATGACGCTGATGCACATGTATGTCGTGCCCTGTCGAAGCAGATTTGTCGACGCATGTTGTGCCAACGCACGACAAGCGACAGCAAGCATTTAGAAGGGCTGCTTCTGAAAGTACAGCTGGAACAGGTTGAGGACATTCCTGCAGAGGTGGTATCCAAACTATGCCTTGAGCAAGAGAGTCTCAAGAGTTTGCATGGTTCGCAGCTCATGCTTCTTGCAAAGATGCTCGAAAAGGCAAACCGACGAGCAGATGGAGCGCGTGTGGCTCTTGCTGCTGCAGAGTTTTTTTCTGCCAAAGAGATGGAGGATGAATCTCATGACGCCATCGTGTATGCACTCTCTCTGGACCATACCCACGCAAATGCGTCGACTATGTTGTGCGAGCTTCTACGGAGCATCCGAGGCAAGTGCAAAGAACTCAGCAGTAAATGCCGAGAGCTTGAGAAGGCTCAACAGGCCATCAAACCTCCCGTGTGGCACTTGACCTGGGATTTGTCGAACTACGACTTCACCAACTTCACCAAAAAGCAGGAGCAGCTCAGCGAGAAGTTCCAGCTCGGGGCGTCCGGCGTCGAGGCTTGGCTCGATTTGCGCCCGGTCGCTTCTGCAAACAGGGCCTCTCTGTATCTTCGGGTCAGCGAGCCCGTCTGTGCGAAGTGGAGATTTCAAGTGGGCCGTTGGGAAGACACTACGGAGCACGAATTTGCAAAAAAGGAAGATGGCAGCATATCTGGTCATGGGTGGAAGAAGAAGATCCCGATTTCCGACCTGTCTTCCAACATCACCTTCCATCTGCTGAGTGTCCGCCGTGAAGGATCCTCCTTGCAGTTGGTCGCTCCTCGCAACGGCCCTTTCCAATGACAATATTGAAGCGCTCATTTGTGCCTCCTGCGCATGTGTACACACGTGCGCGCAAGACAACAAGGCAGGCACCGGCATCCAGTGTGGCTCCTGAAAAGGAAGAACTTGAGATTGCTGTGGCGGATTTGCGCTTCACTTCCAAGAAAACTTATCATGGCCTCAATGTCTGAAAACATGCCAAGCACTTCCCCCCACACCATGCTTCCCACCGAACCACGAAAAACAGATACCTTTTGTCGGGACGCAGGATACACCCGCCCGCCCACTTTGGAGGCCTAGTTGCTCGAGATCTTTATCGTGTTGCGCACCTAAAATCATATAACTGAGCAACAGGTTACCCTTAGCATATGTATGCCACATATCCAGGCCTATCAAAGGCATTGCAAAGGTGGTATACTTTCATCACTTTGCGTTGCCAGCAGCATGGTTTCCTTCAAGATGCTCCATCCATCAGGACACAACGAGTTGTTGTTTCACCGTTTTGCTGCCAGTGTCCACCAATTCCTCACCTTGGGGTTGAAACAAAAAAGTCAAGCTTGTAGCCACACTCATTCTGGACCCCTGGCCACTGCATTTGCAATAGCCTTTGCGGCAGGACCATGTCGAAGCTTCTGCTCGCCGTTTTTTGGGCGCATCGATGAGGAGTGGCGCCTGCGTGGGAACACAAAGGGACAAGTTGAGACCGGGTAGGTACGTTAGCCATTTGTTGTGAGCACATGCTGCGCTTTTCCCCACTCAATCTTGGAGCTCACACGTCCATGAGAAGCTCAGATTGATTTCCCAAAGACATCACGTGGTTATTTGGCCAGACCACGCCACCCAAAGTGCAAGTGCATTGCCTCATCTCCAGAAACAAGTTATGTTGGGAGTTTCTTTTTGCATACACCCGACTCTTACGCTGCGCCTGCGTGTAAGAGGGTTGGAGAAGCTGGAGGCAACTGCCCCTAGCAGTTTCTTGCTCCTATTAGAGCCCCTAGTAGCGCCCTTGCTCCTAGTAGCTTCTTGTTACTAGCATGAAACACAGGTTTGGCGAATTCTTCACACTCCCCCCATGCTCGCCCCAACTTCCATGGGCTGGCAGGAAAGAAGATGGCCCAGGGCCAAGTGGGGTGTTAGGTGTGTGCAACCGAAAGTACGTATTTCTTGCGAACAACTGGGGTGAGGGACTAGTGCATTTCCAAAACTGGAACGTCAACCAACTTCAGCAAAAGGATCTGTTTCTTTGAAGATCTTCGCTCTTTTGTGGGCTCCTCAGCATGCTCGTCAGCGCCTTAGACCTAGGTGCTGCCTTCCCTTTGGCCTTCGCCTTCGCCTTACTGGACGCCATGGTGTCAGGCTTGGACGAATCTTCAGGATTGTCCTCAACGACAACGAACGGGTCCAATTGAAAGCGCGTGTGCGCACACATGAGCACATACACACGCAAGGCCAGCTTATATGAGAATGGTTGCGATATACAATAGGAATCAGACGTCTTCAGCTTGGTGTCTTCCAAATATATTGAGAAATCATGAAAAGTCATGAGTATAGAGCATTGTGCGAACAGAGGACTTGTGCATGAATTGAATGAGGCAGTCGCTCAACCTCGATGCTCTGGGCAACTTTGCGGAGGCTCTGAACTTTCCTCGGCTCAGATTCGTTGACGAGGGAGGATCAGCAAAGTACCCGGATCTATCACATGGGTGTGTTTTTTGTTTGTTTCTTTGTTCCGGAAAGTGCTACAGAGCGTCTTTCAATCCTGCCAGTTCATCGTGGTATTTCATCAAATTCTTGGCTGCGGGCTCCTACAAGAGTGTTTCTATTCATACCATGAATAGGAACAATTGAAACGTGAAAACGTCATGCACGGTATACTGCAAGTGCTGCGCGTCTCTTTACTTTCAGCAGTTGTGAACTCGTCAAGTTTGCTAGGAACAACTTCCATCCTGGTTTGTACCCTCAGAAGGTTTTGCATCACAGCGCCAACATTGTTGATGGCAGGCAGTGAAGCAAAAAGCAAACCTACTCCAAACGAGAGTATACACAGATCATGTTCAAAACCCACACTGGGTACCCCATCCTCAAGAGTGTATTCCTGTTCCACTTCAGCTTTCCCGAGAATTCGGGCGCTGACACCACATCTCGGTCGCTCTCAGCACCTGCAGGTTCACCGCCTAGGCTATGGTCAGAGGCCGGGAGACCAAGATCGAACATGGAAAGCGGGCAACCCTTTTTCCGGAAGTGCGGTCGATCAGAGTTTCCTTTTTTTTCCGTCCTCAAAAGACCGGTTTGCACGTCAACCAGTCGCATTCTTTGATGTTGCGCTCGCACTTTGTTTTTCCTGCAATGCGACTAGAATGGTGTGCAAACAACTGTGGGTGGAATGGGTTTGGTTTGGACACCTGGCCTCACGTGGCTCTTGACACGCCACATATCAGTGCAGTAGGCGACAGCAGCCTTTTTGCATTCCCTTGGGTGCCATGACGCATGGTGGGACCTCCCTCCAAAAGAGACATAGTCAACAGATATACACTCCGCCCAAATAGAACATTGCATAACATGGCCCAAACTTTTTGAATGAGCCATCGACTCTGCAGGCAAAAACGCCTGGAACCCCAAATACAAGATGCAGATGGCTCAAGCCATGTTAGGCGACAAGCCGCGACAATGAAAGGGGAAATAAAAGCAGGGAAATGCAAAGATGGCGCAAGCCACCTTTCCAATGATGTTTTTTGAGGAGTGGTTTCCGTGAAAGGACAGTTTCTTTTGTGAGAGCGGTCTTGCAAAGAAAATTGGCAAGACGAAAGCCATGAAGGGCACCATAGATGGCGCAAGTTGCAATACCGCTCATTTATCAAAGTTCTTTATTCGAGATTGCTTTTTACTTTACCATTTGTTTTCTTTGTTTCCTTGCTTTTGTTTCTTTCTCTGTGGCACTGACAAAGTGCCCTTTCCTTTGGAAAGCAAAGGGGGGGGAAGGAAAGGACAGGAAACAAAGGAACATATTGCGAAAGGAATGAGAAAGAACGGGAAAGGGACGGGAAGGGCAAAAGGATAGGAAAAGCAGAGGGACATGAAAAAGGATACATTGAGGAAAGAAAGGAAAGGGAAGGGTGAGGAGAGAGTTTTTGAACAGGCTCATGGGGAACCAGCATCAAATAGGACAGCAGGCTATCAGGTACATT